TTGATATATCTTTACGTTTCAAAACCTTTTGAACATTTTGCATACTTTAGAAAAAAGGATGTAGGTGTGAGTGTATGTATTTGGGTATATGTGTATGACGCTTTTGAGAACACGGATCAACCGATTTGAATGATTCAAAAACTACTACTTGTTTACTATTGATAGGGAGACGTTATGATTAGTTTTTGACTACGACAGGTCCAGCTGTTTCGAAATTACGGGGCAAATAATTCCAAAAATGGTAATTCAGTTTATGAGAGAACAGAACATCCGATATGAATAAATTAAAAACATATTACTTGTATTGATGAAACGAATGAAAGAAGTAAGAAAAACGTCATTTAGCGGTCAAAAATAATTATTAGTCATATGCGCATCAAATGATCAACTATTTTACAGAAATTATTTTAATCACTACAACTTTTGTTTACATTTATATGAATTCCGTACAAAGATTTGTAATTGTAACCGTTAGACAGCGACTCGGCGCGTACGCACTCCGATGTTTCATCTGTAAAACAGAAACGCTTTTAAAAAAATTCAAAATATTCAAACAATTTCAGAATATAAAAAAATCTAACTTTTCGAAATATCATTTTTTTTCAAAAATTTCAAAACAAACAATTTCAGAATATAAAAAAATCTAACTTTTTAAAACATATTTTTTTTTTCAAAAATTTCAAAATTCCCAAAATTTAATTTCTGTCAAAGTTTTTAAAAATTTTTATAACTAATTCCGGAATTTCAAATTACGGTACGGGAAGTTCGAGCAATTTGCCTAAAGGCACGATACCATACAACACTAGTTTACAAAGAAAAATTCGAAAAATATTATAGGTACATCATTTTTTTTTTCCAAAAATTCAAAACAAACAATTTCAGAATATAAAAAAATCTAACTTTTTGAAACAATTTTTTTTTCAAAAATTTCAAAATTTCCAAAATTTAATTTTGTCAAAGTTTTCAAAATTTTTTATAACTAATTTCGTAATTTCAAATTACGGTACGGGAAGTTCTAGCAATTTGCCTAAAGGCACGATGCCATGCAACACTAGTTTACAAAGAAAAATTCGAAAAGTATTATAGGTACATCATTTGTTTTCAAAAATTTTAAAACAAACAATTTCAGAATATAAAAAAAATCTAACTTTTCAAAACATCTTTTTTTTTTAAATTTCTAAATTCTCAAAATTTAATTTTTGTCAAAGTTTTCAAAATTTTTTATAACTAATTCCGTACTTTCAAATCACGGTACGGGAGTTCTAGCATTTGCCTAAAGGCACGATGTCATGTAACACTAGTTTACAAAGAAAAATTCGAAAAGTATTATAGGTACATCATTTTTTTTTCAAAATATTCAAAACAAACAGTTTCAGAATATAACTAGCTGTAAGTGGAATTCTGTCTTGAGGCAATTATGGCATCGTGCCTTAAGGCAAATTGCTGGAACTTCCCGTACCGTAACGAAATGTTCGAGGAATACTGAATGTTTTCAAATAGTTTATTATAAATATTGTAACATTGTCTAATATTTATAAGAATTATATAAACTGAATTGCAAAGTTGAAATTATTTGTAAAGTATATTAGAACTATAGTCAGAATTAAAAATAAAATCTGAATTATTTTCGATATATAAAAAATTAAAAAAAAAAAAAGTTGAAACATTTTTTTTTCCAGAATCAATTATTTTGTTAAGACAAGCAGAAAGTTCTTTGAATCATTTAAATCGGACGCTTAGTTCTCTCAAAAACTGCCATTTTTTACATATTTAGCTCCGTATCTTCGAAATGGCCTGGCCTGCCTTTGCGAAAAACTATCAAACACTTCTCTCAATCATTACTAATTGAATGTTTGTTAGATCATTCAATTCGGATACTCCGTTCTCTCAAAAAGTCGATTTCTATTTTCTGCACTCTTTGCTTCGTATCTCCGAAACGGCTGGACCTGCCATTGCCAAAAACTAATCAGCATATCTCCTTATCAATAAGAATCGAATATTTTTTAAACTATTCAAATCGGTTGATCCGTGTGCCCGAAAACGTGACTGGAAATTTGTATCCATACATACATACACACACACACATCCATTTTTTCTGAGGTATGCCAAAATGTTCAGAAACATTCAAAACGTCGAGTAATGTAAAAATTTCCAATTCCTATTTTCGGCCCATTACAATAACTTACCCTACGGGAAGTTAAAAAAATCTAACTTTCCAAAACATCATTTTTGTTTCAAAAAATTCAAAATTGGTAGTGATAAAAACGTACAAAATTCTATCAAAACAACATTCGAAAACCAAACCAAACGTTTTATATTCGTATGACGTCGAGTCGAGTCGAGACGTTCGAATCAGTACTTTGTATTTCGTTTCATCGTCGTGCGACCTAACCGGGCCGAGCGACCAACCAGCGCCGCTGTACGCATCCCGTAGCGCGCATGACGCGTACCCCTCTGTGACGTAGCGTCAATGCCGCGATGCGTCTGTGCTACGGCTACGTCTGTCGAGAATCGAGTCTTCGGAGTCAGTTCTTCTGATACAGTCCACAGGTACGAGTGCGAGTGCCGCATCGGACTTCTATCTGTTTATACACAGATGTAACGCACCACGATAACATTGCGCCGCTGTAAATAGATATAGAATATTTGACGATGATTTTGACAATTGTGAACAGTCTTTCGTTGTGAACACGAGTGTGACGGTCGTGATACTAAATTTATGGACAGAGTTATAATTTTTTTTGAAAAGAAAAGTATATAAAATTAATAAGAAAATGTATATCGGAGAAAAGTTAAACGCTAATATACCTACTTAAATATCACTTAAAATTTTATGTGTAAATTGTGAACTTAGATAGTGTCGTCTTTCATACAATTTCTAAATCTATACTTGTTTTGTTATCTATCTTGATATATTTGATCACAATAGGGTTGCATTTTTATGAATGCATAATGTTAGTTATTGTTTTATAACAGATAATATAAGCAAAATCATCATACAAATAAAATCATAAGTCTTCTCCTAAAATTAATATTAAAATATAACAAAAGGTATTAGATATACCACATTTTTTAACATTTAGTATTATTATTTAATAAATATATACATATATCTATAACATATATTTTACCAATGCATATATACATGTAAATATATATATATATATATATATATATATATATATATATATCTTCTATATATATAAAAATAAGTCGGGTTTTTTTTCCTTCCTAATAACTCCAGAACGCACGAACCGATTTCGACAATTTTGCATTCGTTGGAAAGGTCTCGGGCTCCGTAAGGTTTATACCTAAGAAATTTAATGGTGCAATGAAACGGATAATTTGCGGATTCACTTTCATTTACTTAGAGAAGTTCAACTAAAAAACACTTAATTTTTCTAATCGAAATAAATTCATTACTGTTGTGTAATAAAATCAAATTTTTCCTTTTCAAATATAAAACTAACAAAAAATTTCTTCATCTTTCTCACGAAACCATCTGGTGGCGAAACGGAGTTCGTCGGGTTTGCTAGTATTTATATATATATATATATATATATATATATAAAAATGAGTATGTTAATTTGAGCAGGTAGCACCAAGTAAAAACAAGAAAAGCAATCAGCTTTAAAAATCTATACGTTTTGGTGTGCATCGAGCCCTTCATTCATTGTAACAACTAGAAAGTTTTTATAATTAATTTAAAAAAAAAGAAAATAAATGTAAAGATATTGGACTTACAGACAAAAATAATTCAACATTACACTACGCTAATTAAAACAAATGTAACACCAAGTTATCAATAATTCAAACATTTAAAATTTATGTAATTTTGATTTTAAGTTAAAAAACTAGATTTGTGTACTTAGTTGTTATAAGACTGAGCACTGAATGGTTTTCTACTTTTTATCGTTTTTTTTTTAAAAAAAATTATATTCTAGTAAAACATATAGTTTTGGAAAGTTAGTTATTTTGTTCTTATTAAATTAATTATAAAAACTTTATAGTTGTTCCACTGAATGCCGATCTCGATGCAGACCGAAACATATGGATTAACAAACCTCATTTCCGAATTGCTTTATTTTTTTTTACTTTTGTTGACTGAGTCTTCGTTTTACTGCCCGAATCCACAAACTCATTATAACATATATCAACACTTAATTCACATTTCATATAAACACACACACACATATATATATATATATATATTTGCATACCTTTCATATTTTATATTAAATTATGTTCATTATCTTGTGTAAAGCACACTTCATTATTTCGGCAAATTAATTTGCAACATATATTTTAAAAATATGCCACATCAAGTTTACTGATCTGCGGTATAATTTGTATCCGGAGCAATTATAATAATTACCGCGATAATAATCATGCAATTACATTAGACGTTGGTGATTGATATTTGATATTAATAAAATTAATATGATATCTGATAGTAGTAAAACGTGCGAGTATATATATATATATATATATATATTAAATTTAATTAGACTTATACAAATACTACACAATTAATTTTGATTGAATTTGGAATTTGAATTAAATTGATTGAATTTTGACGATTTTAGAATTTTCGCATGTTTTAAACATTATTTCCGACGGAATTTCTAATAAGAATACATTGTTATTTCAATATGTTATAATAGTTTTATTACACAAAACAAACATTTAAAATATTTTAATCAGTTTTCTAAGCTACGGCCATAATTAACGTGCTTTCTCAGCATATTTTTTACCCCAGCTTTTTGTAATATCAATTTTATATAATGTACTGTATAAATGTATATGTATTATGGATATATGTGTATTTATGTACGTATAGCATATTTTGAACTTTTGCTTATATTATATAATATCAATACCAAACACCAAATCGGGTATCAAAATTTATTACCTTTTACTCGGACAATGCAGTGTTTACATTAAAATGTCTGTTGTTAGTGTTTACTAAAGGATTGAAAATATGTGACATTGAGCCTAAGTGTGATATGGCGTTTGTAATGTGATGATTGTTCGGCTTAGAAAAGTATGGAATTGGTTTTGTTACATATAGTCTAGCGAAAATCCATGGAGATGGGACCATCGAGCCGCTACAGCTCCTATAATTGTCTCACTAATTGGGACAGTTATGATAAAATCCCAAGGTAAGAAGTCCAATTAATAAGAAATGGCACGTTTTTATCGGTCATCTAATTTCGTGGTATTATGACATTAAATTAACATATAATTGATTGGCATAATCCTTAATTTTGATACTATTAAACTGGTCTCAGAAATCACGCAACTTGCGCTCGAATATGCTTAGGCAATAATGTGTACCAGCTTGTGAATACATTAAAAATTTATATAATTGAATACGGAAAATTAACACGCACACATTTATAAAGATATGTATATATACAGTAACACATCATTCACACACACACACACAAACACGAACATACATATACATATAACATTTGTCAACTTCCATAAAAGTTTGTTTTTGCCAGAAAATTCGATTTGCTAATTTTACGTTTTCTCGATGTTTCAAGTCATTAGGAAGATAAATACGATTACTTTTGGGTAAAGTTCAGGCAAGTCATTTCTTCATAATTAGCAGGTCAGACTATTTTTTGTCACTGCTGTAAAAATTCAAGAACTATTCGATAGATCTTAATTGTCATCGCTAACTAATCTAGCGTAATAATTGACCGAACCGTTACTTCAAGTCAAATTGTAAACTTGATTGACACAAACATTGGAAAGATATAATTTTTATCAGTTTTTAGTCTTGTAAGCTGAGCTGCTTGTTGTAGGTTGTAGTTAACAGTTAATTATTTACATCTTCACTTTCTGAAAACATTTTGAAAAAGTCGATAAACTTATAAATATCAGATGTAAAATTAGTTCAATAGTACATAATTCTTGATGCAAGATTTCTCAGAAAATTTCACTTCGATTCAAACAACCACATGGCTTGATTATTTTTTTTTTGTTAAAATTAGTCAAATATTTTTTTTGTAAGTAACGGTTAAATGTGTATTATTAATTATTAGTTTATTATTACTTTTCATCAATTCGATCACATATCGACTATGCTCCACATGAGGCTGCCCGATGCGGGTATCGAAATCCCTTACATTAGCCACTCTAACCATTAATTCACGGGGAGGTCCAAAATGTATGACAAATACAATTTTAACTTTTGTTTTTATATATATATATATATATATATATATATATATATTATCTACAGTTATTAGTTTTACGGGAGGCATTTTAGTATTATACACTTCTTATGTAAATATGAACTCTGACAAACAGATTATTCCGTGTAATATACGATTATATAGTAATAATACTTTGTATTTTATTATTGTATTATTACATTGGGCGTTGAATAAATAAATAAATAAATAAATTAATTACAGCACATATACACACAAACACACACACACACACACACACACACACACACACACACACACACACACACACACACACACACACATATATATATATATATATATATATATATATATATATATATATATATATATATATATATTTCTCCAATTTTGGTGTCAAACAATTGTGAAGGAATTGAAACTTAGAAAATATAAAATTGGCAATCCGATCTGGAGAAAACATAAACTTCTCTTACAGAATGCATTTGATATTTGAAATTGCATTTGTAAAATATTACTTTTTTATATTACTAAAATTTATCATATTTATATCGATCAATTAATGTTTAAACCTTAAAATGACAAAAGCATTGCGCTTGGTTCAACTGCCGGTCAAAGTTTATATATATACATGTTGAAAATCTGTTTGTAATTGAAAAGGGGAAGTAATATTTGCCACAAGTTAATAATAACCGACTAATGCTGTACTCAATAACAATACTGTACGTGATTAATTTTTTCTTGAATATATAGTTATTAATTTAAACTATATCGCGCGGGGAGAGTTTAACGACGTATCTCACGATGACATCTGTGGGCGTATTAGTTGATCTGATTAGACAGTGTTTTATCCTAGACAATATTAGAATATGATTATTCATGGTGTTTATATTAGAATATCCAATTTTATTAACATAATTGTTAGTTGTAAGTGGCATTTTGCTTCAAGACAGCAGGCTTGTCATAATATGTAAGTTTGAATCATGAAATCTATCGTTGTACAAATTTTCGCCAAAATTGACAAATTTTTTTCTGACAATTATTTATGAGAAACGACCACAAAATATATGTATATATATGTATATATATATATATATATATATCATAAAGATAAAAAAATATAAATTATAAAACTATATCGTTCAGCGGTGTATTACAGTGATGACAGTACAAAAAAGGTATAAGTGAAATTTAAGTAGATATTTTTAGCAGAATACTTAAATAGGTTAATAGGATTGTTTTTTTTACTATTTTCCTACGAATTTGATCTAACAACTTTCTATTAGTATATTCAGTCAGCCCGTTTTTATACTTCTTACTGCCTGACAATGTTTCGGATGGAATCTATTTCCAGATCTTTATGAAGAAGCCAGAAAGGGATATATTTGGGTGCATTAACGATTTGTCTAACAAAAAGTATTTTATTTCGGAATCTTTGTAGTATTTTTATATTAAATTGGTTAGTCGTAATAATATAAATTAATTGTGATTTTGTTTATATGTACAAATTCAGTAGTGGCAGATATGTTATACACCTATTTCAAAAGATTAAAAAAATAGAATACTGGATAACGCATAAAATTTTGATTTAATACTTATAGGATTTTTTTAGATATACTTGTAGTTGGAATTTTTCAATTTAGCTTAACTGTTAAATTGATTGCTAAATAAATGAACAATAAGTTGTATCTGAAAGTGGAACTTTGCAATATCGATCGGATTCAAAATTTTATCGATAGATAACATTATCAAATTCTGTATAAAATCAATTACAGCCGTAACAAAAGCTTTGTTGCCATCGCCCACTAATAAGGACTGGAGTAATAATAATACTTGAATTTGTTTTATTTTTTCATTTAACAAAAAAATCGATATAAAATAATAAATTATTTATGTGTTGAATGCAGTTAAGAGTTTATTCTTAAGGCTTGATGTAAAAATGTTGGCTACTTCACTTAAAATATTTGGTTTGTTTTTCATTGTTCACTTATATCATATTTTAAGAAATAAGATGGTGTTTATTTTGTTTTCTGAATAAATGGTTATTATGTTAGACGCGTGTTGTTAATAATTCACAATTTGGGATAAACTTAACCGTATTCCCGAAGCTGCTGAAACGTTGGAAGTTTTATTTATTGCCGAAAAGTCCCATCTATCTGCGCCATCCGACCCGAACGACACTTGAATAACGACTTAATTTTTATCTTTATTCGCTACGAACATTCCTGCATCTTTTGATATATAATTTTGTTCTTTAGGATGGATAATCGATTTATATAAATTTTCCATCGGCACATACAATTTTAACATTTGCCATACCTATACGTTACATACCGATTTAAGGGGATAATTCCCGAGTAAAATAGACCGTAACATAGCGTTGTTATAAATAACGCTATGTTACGCTTCTTTCTTGGTACTAAAAACTGTCAACATTTTATGCGGTTGCTGTGCAGTCAGGTGTTATAGATATAAAATCTAACCTAGAAAACGCACAAACGTCAAAAAGAATGTTATCATATGCATCTTATTATGTGTCGTAATAACACAAACGTGAACTTAGATTTTATATAATGTCTGACCGCATAGCAAATACACAGCATTATGACAGTAGTTTAGTGCCTAAACAACGCTATGTTACGGTCTATTTTACCGGAGAATTGGCCTCTAAATTTTTATTTATTAGTATTATTCGAACTTTTTGAAACACAGTACAGCACAGGCCAATTAATTTAAATATTTAATAATAATGCAAATGTATATTTGTGATTACATTGTAAATTTAATCCAAACTAGTGGTATATGGCATCGTGCCTTAAGGTAAATTGCTGGAATTTGCCGTACGAGGAATATTGAATGTATTTAAATAGATTATTATAAATAATCTAACTTCCATTATTCTTATTTTATAAAAAGTAAAACTTAATCAATCGATTAAAATGAAGATTGTCTAATATTTTAAGTATTATATAAACTGAATTGCAAAGTTAAAATTATTATTTGAAGTAATAAGTGATGTTTAGAACTTTAACAAGGATAAGAATTAAAATCCGAATTATTTTTCAATAATTAAAAAATATTTTTTGAAAATTATAAAAAAAAATGTTTCCTCAAAAGTAATCGTTTCATCAACACAAGCAGAAAGTTTTTTAAATCATTCAATCCGATGCTTAGTTCTCTCAAAAACTGCATTTTTTTGCACCTTTAGCTCTATCTATGAAACGGCTGGATCTGCCTTTGTCAAAAACTAATCAGCACGTCTCTTCGTCATTAGTAATCGAATGTTATTTGAACCATACAAATCGGATGATCCGTACGCCCGAAATTGTCGACGAAAAATTGTCTCCACACATACAAACACTCGCACACACATATCCATTTTTTCTGAGGTATGCCAAAATGTTCGGAAACCTCTGAAAAGTGAAGATATGCAAAAATTTTCATTTTCGATTTTTGGCCTATTACTATAACTTACCCTACGGGAAGTTAATAAAAATTCAAAATATAGGAATCAAACCAATCAAAACAAAATAATGACGCTAATTGTATACTAACATTATGATGAATAGCACCCGTAAAACCAACATCATATTGCGTTCGGATATAGCTCATTTCCTTCACATTCACGCGTATGTAAATATGCATACCTGTGAATGCTACCTGTGAAAATTTTAAATTTGAAAAAGAATTTCACTCGCAAAATACGGTTTATATTTAGTATTAGTAGATTACGTGAGTTTTTGTCACCAAAAAATATGATATTTTAACTACAATTGCTTGCGGTCTCTATCGTCGTCAGGCGGATTTTTTCAAAAAAAGTGCTCAACGGGATGTATGTTTTACACCCGCAGATTTTTTATAGGTAAGCATCGAGTGCATGCCAAACCAAAGCAAATCAAACAACTGATGATTAATGATGAAATACAATAAAAAAGAGAGATTTTCAAGTCTATCTGCTGCAGAGTGTTCGAAAA